AAACATTTTTATGAAAAATAGCTGTACTTTTCTAAGAAAAATCTTAGAAAAGTGACGTCGTTTTACATATTTGCAAATCTTTTTACTATCTGGCTTAATAGAACTGGGTTCTTATGCAGTCTGTTATCATACGTTGATCGGGTTAAAGTACACGAAGAACATCCATCCTCTCAGAGAAAGTCACGTTGGGAAAGGGAGGAGTATTTTAAGACCTTTTCAGAGAATTACAGATATTCTTCTTGGTTACTGTACCAAACCTTGACAAGTAGTAGTTTTCCTAAAGGCTAACTATAATGTGGGATATAAAATCTTAAGACCTTGGCCAGGTGCAGTAGCTCACACCTGTAATTGCAGCACTTTGGGAGGCCAAGGCAGGTGGATCACTTGAGCCTAGGAGTTCGAGACCAGCCTGGGCAACATAGTGAGACCCTGTCTCCTAAAAATAACAAAAAATTAGCTGGACATAGTGGCACGAGCCTGTAGTCCAGCTACTTGGGAGGCCGAGGTGGGAGGATCACTTGAGCCTGGGAGGTTGAGGCTCATCGTGCCATTGTACTCCAACCTGGGTGATGGGAGTAAGTTACACCCTGTCTCAAAAAAAAAAAAAAAAAAAAGTCTGTCTTACAGTTGGAGTGAAATCTACCCAGGAATGATTTCACATCATGCATCTTTTGGATGGTTCACTGAGTTATGTGTTAGGCACAGTTCTCCAGAGGAGAAACACAACCAATAGGATACATGTAGATACATAAGAGGAAATTGATTATGGAAATTGACTCACATTGTTACCAGGGCGGCAAGTCCGGTTGGGATCCACAGTCCTCAGTTCTTGTCTTCTTGGAAGAAAGAATTCAGCCAAGACAGAAGTAGATTCAAGGCAGGAGTGAAGGTTTTTTGAAGTAACGTTCACTTGGAAGGGACCAAATGGACAACTTGAAATACTGAATGCCCCTATTTCCTGATCCTTCCTGGTCTCCTCTCATCCTTCTCCTTGGGTGGGCTGCTGGCTAATTGCCTCATGTGCAGTGACTTGCCAGTATCTGAAAGGGTCCACGGGTGCCATTTGGTGTTTGGAGTTCTGTGCATGCTTGCGTAGGGTAATTTTCCCTTACTGGTCTACTGCTCCCAGAGGAGGGTCATGTACTGGTCACACTGCACCATTTTGCTCCTTACTGCACATTCCTGGACGTATTTGCTCAATTCCTAGGATCTTATCAGGAAGTTGTTGCCCATAAGCCCAAGATGTTTCCTGTTAGGAAATTTTCCCCTCCTGGTGCCAGCTGCAACCAGTTATCATTCCTGAAGAGGCCACCTGGACATTCCTTGGGGCCTGTCCTGCCCCACTCACACCTGCCTGTCTACCTACTCTAACAGCGTGATTATGGAGGCCAAGAATTCCCAGACACACCATCTGCAAGCTGGGGAACCAGAAAGCCTGTGGTGTAATTCAGTCTGAGTCTGAAGGGCTGAGAGCCAGGAGGGCCCATGGTGGAACTCCCAGTCCAGGGCTTTAAAGGCCTGAGAATGGTGAAGGGTTGTGGGACAGGCAGCACTGGGGTAAGTCCCAGAATCAGGGGCTCCGATATCTGAGGGCAGGAGATGGGTGTCCCAGCTCAAGAAAAGAGGGATTGGAGGATGCCCGTCCACATTGGTGAGGATGGATCCTCTTTAATCAGTCTACTGATTGAAATGCTCATGTGCTCCAGAAACACCCTCATGACACACCCAGAAATCATGCTTTACCAGCTATATGGGCATCTCTTAACCTAATCTAGTTGACACATACAATTAACCATCACAGCCACCTTCAGGCTGAATAAGTCTCTAGAAGAACTCAGAACTCAATGAAAGCTGTTATGCTCATGGTTATGGTTTGCAACAGCAAAAGGATATAGATTAAAATCAGCCAAGGGAAGAGACACAATAGGACAAAGTTCAGGAAGTTCCAAGCACAGAGCTTCCAGCTGTCCTCTCCCAGTGGAGTCATCAACAGTGCTAAATTCTCCCAGCAGCAATGTGTGACAATAGACAGAATATTGGCAAGCAGGGAATCTCAGCTAGACTCTGATGTCCAAAGGTTTTATTGGGGCTCTGCCATGTGGACATAGTCAACTGCCTGCATAGCTGACCTTAGCTTCCAGCACCTCCAGGTTGGCCTGTCACTGCATGACCCAAAGCCCCCACTATAAATCATTCTTGTGTAGCCCAAGGTTCCCTTGTAAACAGACACTATTTTTTGGTGGTGGGTGGTAGGGGACAGGGTCTTGCTGTGTTGCCCAGGCTGGAGTGCAGTGGCACAATCTTGGTTCACTGCAGCCTCGACCTCCAGGACTCAAGCGATTCTTCTCTGTCAGTCTTCTGAGTAGCTGGGACTACAGGCGTATGCCACCATGCCCAGCCAATTTTTGTATTTTTTGTACAGACAGCATTTCGCCATGTTTCCCAGGCTGGTCTTAAACTCCTGGGCTCAAGCGATCCTCCCACCTTGGCCTCCTGAAGTACTAGGATTACAGGCACGAGCCACTGTGCCCTGCCCAAAGACACTTTTATCAGGCAAGACATTCCAAGGGTTTAGAATTACCGCTCAGGAGCCAAGGACAAAAACCAGACCTCCCTTTGGGCAAGGTTAAATTGTTCACTACACAGTATGTTTCTCATGTCATCACAACGAATATTTTTAAAATATTTTTTACAGTGTACTCAAGGGTCATGATTTAGTAAAACCAGTCTTTTTTTTTTTTTTTTACTTCATCAAAGACATTCTTACATAAAACTGGTTTTGTTTGTTCTGCTTGAGTGCAGGTAGTGCTTGGCGATGTGTGCTAATACATTTCCACACCACTGCCTTGATTACGCTAGCTGTCAGCAGGTACCCACTATTGCTTTTACGACCTTAGTGTCAAACTAGGCAAATAACATCTTAATTTTTACTTTTTCTGTTTACGAAAATAGTTTCGGCCACGGTTATGCCCTCAGAACCTCTGCTCTAGCTAAGCACCCTATATCTTTACCTTGTTTTATGACATAAAGCAAGAGGACCGAGACTGTACATTCTTTGAGGGTAGGTTGCCATCTTCATCTTTGTAGTCAACATTTTACCTAGCACAGTGCTTCATATGCAACAGAAATTCAACGAACGCCTGTTAAATGAATGCATAGAACTTTTAATCACTTCAGGAAGTCTTTCCACAACTTGATTTGGTTTTAAAAAAATGCAAATAAAAGGTGACTTTTTCTTCCCATTTGTGATAGATTTTTTTTCTTTTGTTATATAGAAGCGTTGTCAAATCTGTGCTGATTCCCAAGAAACTGGAAGAATCAGTTTTGATTCCCTAGAGAATCAGTTTTGTCTCCCTTGTGACAGTTAAATCCTTCACCGAGGTTGCCGCCTGTGATCCTAATGACTTCTGTCATGGTGCAGACACTCCTCCTCCAGACTAGGGTGACAGACTCCAGCCCTCTCCACATATGGTTTTACTCTCCTCACATCTGTTCCCTGGTAACCACCAAGATGGTCTGTTTGAAATGTGGATAGGCTGGGCACGGTGGCTCACGCCTGTAATCCCATCAGACTGGGAGGCCGGTGGGGGCGGATCATTTGAGGTCAGGAGTTTGAAACCAGCCTGGCCAACATGGTGAAACCCTGTCTCTACTAAAAATACAAAAATTAGCCAGCCGTGGCGGTGGGTGCCTGTAATCCCAGCTACTCAGGAGGCTGAGGCAGGAGAATCACTTGAGCCCAGAAGGCAGAGGTTACAGTGAGCAGAGATCGCACCACTGAACTCCAGCCTGGGCAACAGGACAAGACTCTGCCTCAAAAAAAAAAAAAAACGGATAATAAGCCAGGTACTCTTTTCACATATTTAATCCTCATCATCCTTACGAGGGAGGGTGCTGTTTGTTATCCTCACTTTACAGATGAGAGGCCTGAGGACCTCTGTGACCTAGCAGGTCTGGCTCTGGGGTCCCAGATGTCTCCTCTTAACTATGTGCTAAATACTTCTCACTGCTTAGTGTCACACCTGTTGGCTGTTGTCTACAAGCCAAAGATAAGCTCCCAAACATGATATCTGAGCCCTTCCATGCTCTGACTTCTGCTCTTAGGGCTTCCCTGTGTCCTGCCTGTTTGGTGCTGCTACAGTCTCTAGGAGTTCAAATCTGCACACAGCGTCCCTGTGCACAGTGCTGTTTATAGCCTCTGCACTGCGGCTGCTCCCGTCCCTGCTAGCAGGTCTGCTAGGCCTGCCTGGACCCCTTTCACCTGGCAGAGTCTTACTTAGGAGAGAGCTCAGGTGGTGACTGCTCAAGGAAGTTCTCCTCCACCTTTCTCCTTTGTCCCCTTCCCCAGTGAAATGAAGAGCTCACAATGAGTGGGGCAGACAAATGAAGGCAGGTAACTGTAACAAGTGTGGTAAGAATTACAATGTGAGAGTTAATTATAAGGAAGGTAAAAATTTTTCCATAGCAGTTTGTCCTATATCCTAAACTAGACTATCCATTCCTTTGAGGGTACAGACTCATACTGTCAGTATTTGGTAGATAAACAAAAAGTAAAATATCTGAAAACTAAGTAAACACAGCATTTCTCCTAGATTTCCTATTTCATATTTTCTTCCAAATCCACAAAATTATGAAAAATTTTTTTTGAGATGGGGCCTCACTCTGTCACCCAGGCTGCAGCCTCTGCCTCTTGGGCTCAAGTGATCTTCCCACCTCAGCCTCCTGAGTCGCCGGGATTACCGTGTGTGCCACCATGCCCAGCTAATTTTTGTATTTTTTTATAGAGTCGGTTTCACCATGTTGCCCAGGCTGGTCTCAAACTGGACTCAAGCGATCTGCCCACCTTGGCCTCCCAAAGTGTTGGGATTACAGCTGTGAACCACAGCACCCAGCCTAAAGTTTTGAAATCTTACAGACTTTCGGAAAATGGTATAAATACAGATGTGTAGGGTTTTCTATTTTTAAATAATGAGTTTTCCTTCTCTCTTTTCTTTTGTAAGCTCCTTGCCCGACTTGAAGGTAGAAGTTCCTTGAAAGAAATAGAACCAAATCTGTTTGCTGATGAAGATTCACCTGTGCATGGTAAAAATACAACCTTTATAAAAATATAAATGCAAATAAAGCTTTATAAAAGGATTTTTCACATCAGCTCACATGTATACATGTATTCCTGCAAGAGGTTATACAGGTTAAACTGTCCAATTGAAAACTGACACACAGGTTGTGACAGGAAGCTTTTAAGCTTTCCTCACCGGTGTCAGACAAGATAAGTTTGCTTCTCTGCAGTAAATCTTCATAGTCTGCGTTGACCTCTGTCTTATTCCCAACACACAATATTTATAGTTTATTTTGAAATTATTTTTCTTTAGAAGTTTGCGGAGTTACAGGGAAGTCCTTAGGTACCCAATTGTTCTCTTAGTATTTCTACAGCAGGGAAAACTTACAAAGGGCGTGTGCTTAGGTTGATTTTTTTTCTTTTTATGTAGCGGCTTCATAGAGATAAAATTCACCCACTTAAGTGTGCAGTTAAGTGATTTTTAGTATATTACACAGTTGTGCAACCATTACCACAACTGATTTTAGAGCATTTTATCTCCTCAGAAAGAAGCTCATTTCTAATCATTGTCATCTCCCATGTTCCCCAGCTCTAGGCAACTACTAGTCTACTTTCTAACTATAGATTTGCCTTTTCTGGACATTTCCTATAACTGGAATCATGTAATATGTGATCTTCTGTGACTGGCCTCTTTTACTTTGAATAATTTGCATTGTATAATTCATTGTCACCACATCATAACACATACTAGTAGTTCACTTTTTGTTAAATATTTCATTGCATGGGTATGCATGTTGCTTATCTGTTTGTTAGCGGATGGACATTTGGGTTGTTTCATTTGCTGGCTGTTACGCATAATGCTGCTGTGGTTATCTGTGTATGTGTTTTTCTGTGGATAGATGTTTTCAGTTCTATCGGGTAATACCTAGCATAGGCGTTGCTAGGTCATATGGCAATTCTACATTTAACCTTTTGAGAAACTGCCAGACTGTTTTCCAGAGGAGATTCACATTTTATTTGCACCGTCATTGCATTGCCAGCAATGCACTGATGGTTCCAGTTCCCATATTCTGGCAATACTCGTTATTGTCTGTCTTTCTGATAATAGCCATCCTAGTCAGTAGGAAGTGTTAGCTCTGTGTGGTTTTTGACTTAAATTTTCCTCACGGCCAGTGATGTTGAGTATCTGCACAGGCTTATTGGCAAATTGTGTATCTTTGGAGAAACGTCAGATCCTTTGCTCATTTAAAAAATCAGGTTATAGCCAAGCGCGGTGGCTCACGCCTGTAATCCCAGCACTTTTGGGAGGCTGAGGCAGGCGGATCACAAGGTCAGGAGTTCGAGACCAGCCTGGCCAAGAGACCAGCCTGGCCAATATGGTGAAACCCCATCTCTACTAAAAATGAAGTTTCCAACTGTTATTGTTGAATTGTCTGTTTCTCTCCTGAGTTTTATCATTTTTTACTTTTGTATTTTGGGGCTTCATGTATTGTTAAGCACACATAACTTTTTATTTTGTCTTATTGCTGGTTGACCCATTTGTCATTATAAAATGTTCTTCTTCGTCACCTCACATCCATTAGGAAGGCTACTATCAAAAAAACAGGAAATAGCAAGTGTTAGCAAGGATGTGGAGAAATTGTAACCCTTTTGCACTGTCGGTAAGATTGTAAAACAGTGCGACCATTATGGAAAATAGTATGGAGGTTCCTCAAACAATTAAAAATAGAGCTACTGTATGAGCCCATAATCTCACCTGTGGGTATTCATCCAAAAAAATCGAAAGCAGGATCTTGGAGAAATATTTGTACACTCTTGTTTATAGCAACACTATTCACAATAGCTAAGAGGTAAAACCAACCTAAATGTCCATCAGTGTACTTATGGAAAAGTATCCATCAGTGGTTGAGTGGTATATGCAAAATGTGATATATACATGCAATTGATATATTATTCAGCCTTACAGAAGAAGGAAATTCTGTCACTTGCTACAACATGGATGAACCTTGAGGACATTGTGCTAAATGAAATAGGCCAGACAAAAAGACAAACTGCTTGATTCCACTTACATGTAGTTTCTAAGGTAGTTAAGGTAGTTAAATTCACAGAAAAGAAAGTAAAATGGTAGTTATCAGGAGCTGGGGAGGTGGAGGAAGTGAGTCATTGTTTAATGGATGCAAAATGTGAGTTTTGCAAGATGGAAAAGTTGTGGAGTTCTGCTTCATTGCTTCACAGCAATGTGAATGTACTTCACACCGCTGAGCTGTACACTTCTAAATGGTTAAAGTACAGGCTGGGCACGGTGGCTCACCTGTAATCCCAGCACTTTGGGAGGCCGAGGTAGGTGGATCACCTGAGGTCTGGAGTTGGAGACCAGCCTGGCCAACATGGTGAAACCCTGTCTCTACTAAAAATAGAAAAAATTAGCCGGGCGTGGTGGCGGGTGCCTGTAATACCAGCTACTTGGGAGGCTGAGGCAGGAGAATAGCGTGAACCCGGGAGGGATTCTGTGAGCTTGCAGTGAGCCGAGATCGTGCCACTGTACTCCAGCCTGGGTGACAGAGCAAGACTCTGCCTCAAAAAAAAAAAAAAAAGAAAAAAAAAAAAAAGAAAAATTACCCAGGTATGGTGGCTCATGCCTGTAATCCCAGCTATTCGAGAGGTCAAGACAGGAGAATCGCTTGGACCTGGGAGGCAGAGGTTATAGTGAGCCGAGATTGTGCCATTTCACTCCCGCCTGGGTGACAGAGCAAGACTGTCTCAAAAAGAAAAAAAAAACAAAACCAAAGACAGAAAGCTTATGATTGTCATTTTGCTGTTTTTTATATATGTCTTCTGTCTTTTCTGTTTCTTTCTCCTTTACTGTTTTCTTTTGTGTTATTTTCTAGTGTACCATTTTAATTCTCTTGTCATTATTTTCACTATATTTTTCTGAATTATTTTTCTAGTGATTGCCCTGGGATTACAAGTAACATCATAATTTCTAACAATCTAGTTTGGATTAATACAAACTTAATTTCCATATTTTGTAAAAAGCTTTGTTTACTGTGTAGCTATTCCCTACATGATTATACATCGTCTGGTCATCAGCACATTTAATATTATTACTGAATTAAAATAATTAAAATGATTACTTAAGAATACTTTCTGTCCAGGTGCGGTGGCTCACACCTGTAATCCAGCACTTTGGGAGGCTGAGGTGTGTGGATCACCTGAGGTCAGAAGTTCAAGGCCAGCCTGGCCAACATGGTGAAACCTCGTCTCTAAAAAATTAGCCGGGCATGATAGCGGGTGCCTGTAATCCCAGCTACTCGGGAGGCTGAGACAGGAGAACTGCTTGAACCCGAGAGGCAGAGGTTGCAGTGAGCTGAGATTTCACCACTGCACTCCAACCTGGGCAACAGAGCAAGACTCTGTTGCAAAAACAACTTCCTTCTTAAATCAGATAGATGAAAAAATAGTTACAAATACAAAAACACATTTATACTATCTTTTTTTTTTTTTTTTTTTTTTTTTTTTTAGATGGAGCCTCACTCTGTTGCCCAGCCTGGAGTGCAGTGGTGTGATCTCGGCTCACTGCAACCTCCACCTCCTGGGTTCAAGTGATTCTCCTGCCTCAGCCTCCCCAGTACCTGGGACTACAGGTGTGTGCCACCACACCTGGCTAATTTTTTATTTTTAGTAGAGATGGGGTTTCGCTATGTTGGCCAGGCTGGTCTCAAACTCCTGACCTCAGGTGATCCACCCGCCTTGGCCTCCCAAAGTGTTGGGATTACAGACATGAGCCACCACACCCAGCCTGTACTGTCTTTTATATTTACATAGATAGTTACATTTCCCTATGCTTTTTATTTTCTCATTTGGATTTCAGGTACTGTCTAGTGTCCTTTCATATAGCCTGAAGCACTCCCTTTAGTATTTCTTGTACAGCAGATTTGCTAACCAAAATTCTCCATAATAAAACACAAATTTTGATCGAGTACATAAGACAAAAAACAGAATGGTCTTTGTACACTCTCTATAGGGAAGGATATTATTAAGGTGAGCCTTATGAAACTGACATTAATATGTTAAAATGTGTTTGTGGAACAACTTCTACATTAGAATATTATAGAAACATTGAAAAACATCATCATGTTTAGTCACTAACAAAAAAGTTTACTGAAAACTACTGAAGACCTGTAGCTGTAAAACTAGTTAGATGAGTACTCCATTGGAACAACAGCAGATAGAAGACTGGGATTATAAAGATTATTTATTAACAATGGAAGTTTATCAGAACTTGTTATAGAAAAGCTTAAGTTGAAGTAGTAAGAGATTTAGGGGTTATAGAGTCTCGATGCCATTGTAAACTTTTTTTTTTGAGACAAAGTCTTGCTCTGTCTCATCTGTATTTTTAGTAGACATGGGATTTCACCATGTTGGCCGGGCTGGTCTTGAACACCCAACCTCAGGTGATCCGCCCACCTTGGCCTCCCAAAATTCTGGGATTAAGGTGTGAGCCACTGCACCCATCCAAACTTTTTTAAAATTTTAATTTTAATTTAATTTAATTTAATTTTAAATTCTGGGATACATGTGCAGAACGTGAAGGTTTGTTACATAGATAAACACGTGCCATGGTGGTTGGCTGCACCTATCAACCCATCACCTAGGTTACTTGTCTTAGCTATTCGTCCTGATGCGTTCCCTCCCCTCATGCCTTCGGCAGGCCCCGGTGTGTGTTACTCCCCTTCCTGCATCCATGTGTTCTCATCCAAATGTTTCATTTTATTTTATTTTATTTTTATTTTATATGTATATTTTATATTTTATATTTTACATTTTATATATTTTATTTTATTTTACATCTTATATTTTGTTTTATTTTATTATTATTATTTTTTATTTTGAGACAGAGCCTCACTCTGTCACCCAGGCTGGAGTGCAGCTTGATCTCTGCTCACTGCAACCTCAGCCTCCCAAGTAGCTGGAATTACTGGCGGGTGCTACCATGCCCAGCTAAGTTTTTGTATTTTTAGTAGAG